CTGGAGCAGGCTGCTGAGGGAGGTGGTGGAGTCACTGTCACTGAAGGCATTCAAAAAACGTGTGGATGTGGTACTTTGGGACATGGTTTAGTGCTTGAGTTAGTGAGGGGTTGACAGTTGGACTTGATCTTAGAGGTCTTTTCCAACCTTAATGATTCTAGATTTCTTTGACAAGTAGAATCTTTTAAAATTGCTTTTATAATAGGAGTCATCTAGGTAGCAAAGCAATGGAGAGGATGGAATGAATTTTTTTTCATGTCAGCAACAATGAAAAGCACTTCTTCTCTAAAGTGGTAAAGCAGCAGTTTACTTCTGTCTGATTTCTGATGATATTCCTGAGAAGTACTAATAAATTTGGGCTAACTTTTAAAAAAGTGATGGTAGCTGTATATTATATGTTGTGTGTTTATATTGCCACTTAGAGTGTTATAAAACATAAATACCTGTACCTTTTCAGTGAGGGCTTTTTTTCTTTATCTTTCAAGGCTGCTGAAACCACTCAAAGTGATACAAGTGTCTCATCGGGGGATGCAAGTAAAAGAAGCATTCATTTTCTACCTAATGAAACAAAACTAGATCCTCAACTAGAAAACAAAGACTTAAATACCAAAGAAAAAAGTGATCCAGGTGTGGATGAAGATGATGTAGAGGGAGATTCTTTTTTTGATGATCCTATACCCAAACCAGAAAGAACTTATGGCTGGTAAGTAATGTGGATGTTCTACGTAATGCAGGTTTATTTTGTCCTCAGTATGCTAGCAGACCTTTGAGATCTAGCTGATGTTTGAGTATTAACAGTTGTGAATTGTTTAGGTTGGAAAAGAACTTTAAGATCATTGAGCCAAACCATTAACCCAGCACTGTCAGGTAAATGCGAATGTTTGGATCTGATCTGTAACATTTTGTTCCTGAAATGTGCATTTCTGTGATTGTGTTCTTTGAAATGCAGTGTCATCTAGGGTCTCTTAGGTGTGCCATGAGTGGAAAAACCTGTATTGCTCTAAGATGCTTCAGTCAGACTATATGATGTTCCCAGCCTATCCCTTTGGTGGAATGGACGTGTGTGAGGCACAGACATTGGTGTTTCTTCTTGCAGCAGAGCTGCAGTTGTGATCAGTGCTAGAGGAAGTGGGCAATGACAGGGACAGTGCTTTAGATACCTGTATGGCTTTGGAAAAAATATAAAAAATCTGGTGAATGTATAAACTGGCTCCATAAACTGTGAGAATACAGGAAGTTTCCTCACAGCCAAAGGTTTTCTCTTTGCATCGTGCCATGTTTTGTGTGCAAGTCTATGTTTGCAGTGAAGATTTGTTATTTCTGCATATGGTAATTTTGCAGGTGCTTCTGATGGGCTTTTTTTTATTACTCATCTATGGAGTCTGATGACTGGAAAATACCATTTGAGACAAGAACTAGTGACTTAAGTATACAACAGCTTTGTTATAAAAGTGAAAGATCTGTCTTTGTGTTGTCATGTTGCGTTATCTTGAAGCTTAGCTTAGATATCTCTTTTGAGGAAATGCTGCAGGATAGTTTTGTGGTGTTTTTTTTTTTGCCATGCCTGAGTAATTGGAGAATTCCTCTAGTTGAGCAGAGGTCACTAGAAGAGGTTGCAGAAGCATTTGCCAGTATCTCCCCTCATGTTGCTTTTTTTCCCCCAGTTATGTTGATAGTGAACAAAATAAACTTTTTGTTTGGCAGAAGAAAACAAACCTTTTTGTATTATTGGTACAATAGATGCTTACTCTTGGAATGGAGCCATTCTGGTACAGCAGAAAGCAATCATGTCAGGTAAACTAGGTCTCTTCCTAGAAATTAATGGACTCTTTGAGAAGGATTATTTATAATACAGCTTTTGTTGTATGCATTTAGTTGGAGCAGAATATTTTTCCTCAAAGAGCAGTGATTTTTTAAAAATTCCCCCCCTGGAAGTTGTGTGTTACAAATAACCCTACTATGGTGTTTCTTTTCTCTTTTCCTTATTGGAAATATGAAGATTAAAACTGCATCTGAGTGCATTTATTCCTCTTTAGTCAAAAGTTTGACTACCCTTTATTCAAAGTCTAACCATTGTAGCAGGTGGTTGTGTTGCCATAAAATAGGCTTAAATAAGTTGGGAAAACTAGAAAAAAAAAAAAACTTCTGGGTAACAATATTTATTCATTTCTTATTGTTTGAGCTTTTTTTGTATGACAGGAAGGGAAACTCGCTTTGAGATTGGGTAAACTGCATTTTTTTAAAAAGACTGTCCAAGGAGAAGACTCTTAATTACTCAGTAAACTAAGGATTTTTTTTCCTAGTAGAGAAACTCCTTACAGAAAAAGTGATTTCCAAATTATGTCTATCTGTAATACAGTCACAATCCACCAAGTAGTAGTTTGTACCTCATAATGTTGTTATGTAGGTATTATAGTAATGGTCTATAATAAGGTTTGCTGAATATATTAATAATAAATGAGCTAGCAACCAGTTGTAACGGAGCTGTTTCTGCCAAGTCTCACTTCTAATCTCCTTGTAGCTCCTCTAGAGTAGAAAGCAGAACATACTCTTCAGGTGGAATGTCTTTGTGCTACGTTGTGCTGGTGTGTCTTGAGTCCCAAGGGAGGAATGAGCAGGAGAGCAACCAGCATCACTTGGTTTGGGCAAATTCCTTGTGGGAGCTTTGCCCCTTCCTGGCACAAGGGTGCATTAGAGGGGGTGGGAGCAAGCAGTTAGTAAGGGTAGAGTAAGAGATGATCTAAGCTCTCATTGCCCCTGAGGTCTCTGACCTGTTCTTCTAAATTTCAAAGTGCTCTAAAACGTGATGGTGTATACGATGCTTTGGTGACAGAGATGTCATGAATAATTCAAGTGTTGTCCATTGCCAATAGGAGTGGAATCACAGTAGCAAACAGTTCTGGTAATACTAAGTGTGAAAATCTTGCTCTCTTTAATCATGTTGTCTTCATGCTTTACTTGCCAGTAGTACTTTAACTCCATTCATCTGTTTAAAGTGTTGAGTTCGGTAGCAGCCAAGTGAACTTTTAACATGTGATGGTGAGGTCTATTGTGATGTAACTGAGAAGCTTCATTCTGTGAACCAGCTGCTGTTAGGATTAATAGTTTCATCAGGCATAACGTTCTAGTTGTACACCAAGCTAATTTAAATGTTGTTTTATATCTGAATCTTTCTTCTTTTGGCTGTATTTGCATGTGGGGATAATGAAAGGCCCCTTGATAAAAATAATGATGCTGATGAAGGTGTGGGAGCTCTGTCTGTGAAAAAAGGCAGGCAGAAGTCTTTGCTTTCTCACCTATGCAATTTTCTTACTCAGTCTTTCCTCACCCTTGTGCCAGTAAACTGCTTACTGTTTTTAAGATTGCAGAATGAATAGTCCTTTCTCCTGGCTCTTTTTTGCTATAAATATGGTTTTTCTCGTTTTATGACAGTTTAATAAATAATAGAAAAGAAACGACCTACATTTTACAGTTCTGTTGAGTGTCTGTTGATTTGCTTTCTTTTAGGAAAACTGAAGCTAATAAAGCAGGAAGTTTAGCATCCCTTTCTGATGCACCACCTCTAAAAAGTGGGTTAAGCTCCCTGACTGGTGCACCTTCGATAAAGGAGTCTGATAGTAAGTTTTCAGTGTTTTTGTGTTTTGGTGAATGCAGGAGATACTTCCTGTAGTGTAATGAATGATCTACACATTCATATGCAAATGTCGTTGAGTACCTGGCCCCCTTCTGGTTAGTACTGTTCTTTATAGCAACGGTTTTTTTTTCACTGAGTGAGTGCATTCTGGTTTTAATATTTTATGCCACCATTATGGTTTCTTAGGTTTTGGAGCATGAAATACCAGAACACTTTTTTTTTTTGTGCATATAAAGCAGTTTCCAAGAGCATAAAATTCTACTGTGCAGGGTTGTTTTCTTTTTTTTTTTTTTAACTGAAATTAACTTATCTTTCTGTATTGTTATATTATTTGCACAAGTTCTTTAGGAATATTTGTTTTTGTTGTAAATCCTGATCCCGAATACTGTGGGAACGTCCCTGTTTGCTAAGATTTAAAAACATGAGTAGCAGAGTGCAGGCCTAAAAATTTGGTATATTACCATATATAATATAAAGCCATATAAGCTTATTATAACAGAACACTTGTTATAAACAGTTGGTGGTTACGTTTAAGTGAGATCTTATTATAGAATCACAAGTCAAATTTCTGAAAAATACTTCTGTTTTGTGACAGATGTGAATAGAAACTCTGTTTTGAAAGACCTGCGGTTGGTGAATGCAAAACTGGGATCACTGGAACTAGGCAAGTAACTGCAAGCTCTGATGGTTTTGACTGGAAGTTTTGGCCTGGCTTCTTAGAGGAATCTAAGAAACTCTCAAAACAGAGCTGCCAAGTATTTAAATTTTGTCTTCAACAATGTAGTCAACATCCTGAAAATGTATGTTATTTCAAAACAGTTTGTGTAAATGCCATTAATGATAACTCTAAACTCATCTTCTCTTCCTAATCTGCACAAGTAGTTTAACTTACTCCTTCTTTTGCTAGCTATCAACCCATGTCTTTTGGTGCTGGAATAGAATCTTTTTTATTTCTTGAAGAGAAAAATTGTTTGATTAATACCTTTTAAAAATTATTTAGGAAATGGAGATGACGATGAGTATGCTGATGACTTCAACAGGTAAGAGAAGGATGATTCTGCAGTAGCATAGCATTTCATGTATTAGAAGCTTATCCACTAGCATATTTGAATTGTTTCATAATATTTCAGCCAGTCACTATTGCTGGTGTTCTGTCACTATCTCTGAACTCCTTTAAACTTTGTTTTGCTGTTTTAATACATATAGTTACCCATTTTTAAGAAAAATCCCTTTTATGTAGGGGGTAGTGAGTTCCTTAAAAACCTGGTGCTACCTTTAAGATGAGAAGCTGTTGCTTTTTAGTGGGAAGTGTGGTTTTTTTCTGAACCAGGCACTTAACACTATGTTAGCACTTCAGTGAATGCTTTTAGACAATGAATATGGTATATGGTGAAATATACAACTAAAAAATAAACCATCATGAGTAGTCAGTAATAAATACTTATCAGACTCATCTTTATGATGCGAAGGTCTTGATGTGAACTGTGGATTGAGGCCTAAGTATTTATCAGGATGTATCATGGCTTCATCTAGGAAGAAGGCCTTTAGCTGTTAAGGGATTTTAAGTGGCTCCATATTGAATTCGTTAGGATGTAAAATCCAAATCAAGTGTCAGTTGTAAAAATGAAAATGAATGTAATACCTGGATGTTTGAGAAGAAAGTGTTACTTCTGCGTTGATTGCGTTGATGATTTTCTTTCCTTTTAGTACTAGTCATCGCTCAGAAAAAAGTGATATCAGTATTGGTGAAGAAATAGATGAAATTTCTGTGGAAACAGAGGAGTCAAATGCCAGTGATAAAGTATGATTCTTTTAAAATTCATCTTAACGTTCTTGTGTTCATGTTTTGACTCTTTTTAACGTTCTGTGAAGTAATTAATTGCCATTATCATAGGTTCCTAAGATACACATTAAGGTTGTATTATTTTTTATGTTCCATATTTTTACACCTCTTATTCCTGCCAAGTTAAGTACTATACTGATTTTTAAAAAAGAAAAACCCCGTAACAGTTGTTTGGTAGCACAATTCACTGTTTGTTTTTAAGCATGTAAAATATATTTGAGACTAGTTCAGTATCCTTGTGTCCCAAGATATGCCTGACCCACCTCCTAAAGGGGTGTGAAACCTTACTGAAAGAGCTTGAGGCCAAAAGGACGGGGTGCTGTATGAAGGACTACAAGAAATAATATTTAACTGTTTCTATGATTTCTGAGTTTGTGATTTTATTTTCTAGCTTGAAGGCTTCACACAAGACCTTACCATTTCTCAGTTAAGTGATGTTGCAGATTACCTAGAAGACGTGGCGTAGAATCAGACAGCAAAAATGTTTCATTGTGCTGGACTAGAAGACTGCTGTGGACTGTTAATTTCAGACAATCACTTTTTGCTGGAATGTCCACTCCCTATTTGTGCCTTGTGTTTCAAAAAGACTGTAGATGGAGAAGGCTTTTAATATTCTTAACAAGAACTAAATGAAGTAGTGCGTTCCTGTTTATGAGTCTGATATCAGAATTGTTTTCTTCATTTGGTTCAGCCAAACCTTTTACAGCAGGAGGTGGATTTTCCAAGCAGAATGTCCATTGCTGGCAGTGGGCATAAGAGAAACCAGTCGACAAGAGAACATCTGCAGAGAGGCGTGTGGCTTTATAATGAACTTGCACTGTTACTGTAACAGTCTGAATTTTTTTTAAAGATAACCAAAGCAAGAACCTTTAGAGGTAGTGGTTCAACTCGTGCTTCTTTTAATGCAGTTTTCTCAAGTCAGCATATAGTATATATTTATGGTAATTCTAGCCACAATACCTAATTGCTCCAGATTTACTTGAAACTGCTGTTTTTCAGACTCTTCTGAAAGTTGGACTTCATTTTTATTTAAAGGCATATCAAATTGAGAGTATCCAAACTCTCAAATCTAAATTGAGCTAAATTTAGGAGCTAAATTTAGCACTAATCTTAACTCCAAATATTCTTATTTAAATGTTTGTCAGACTATTGATGTTAAGACCTAAGCTGTTTTTATACATGATAATTTCATCGATGTTACCTGTTGTTAAATCACAAAGTAATTTTGTAAGGATCCACAAATCATTAACTAAATTTTATTGAGTTTTGCTGAGTTTTTAAGTGTGGTAATGGTTTATGGAGCTTCGATTACCGAGGGCTTTTCACGTGCTGTAAGATCACTTTTGTTCTTGAAAATCCTGGTTACGAAAAAATGAGCGCCAAAAAGTGAAACCACTGACATCCTGCTTTTCAATTCCTGACTGCTGGATAGAGTTAGGTCCAAATATCTAAAAATACAATAGCGAAGATATTATGGACACTAAGTTGTAGTTAAGAGAAAATTGTGTTTTCATTTTACTTCTGCAAAACAGAGTCAGTAATGGAAAGACTGACAGTTCTTTAACAATACCATAGTACATGGCACTGCTATAATAGATAGGTCGTGGACATTTGTAATACTGAAACAAGACTTCAAAATGTGCACTTTCTGAACATTGTGAACACATTTGGAAGATATACCTGTAAGTCAATATAAGTAACTTAATTTTTTGTTTTAGATGTAATTTTTTTCAGGAACACTGTTGGCCTCTCATTGATGGTCACCACAGTGGAAGTAGCATGCTAAACTAAAGCCATTGGTTAAGCATATAGAGCTGCTACTAGCACTGGATGCTGACTTAAATCTCTTTTTGCACTGGGCCAGCAGGTATGGAGCAGTGCTGTGAAGTTAGGCTTGTACAGTACATAAATGATTTGAGGGGAGAGAGGAAAAGTGTGCCTTTTATTTATGTGCACCCCAAAACAGCCAGCAAAAAAGCATCAGAATATTTAGTCATGGTGTTAACTTCTAACTTTGTGCCATACTGTAGCAGCTGAACACAGGAAAAATGTTTTCACCCCAAAAAATCCATGTGCCATAGACCTCAAATAACAACAATGTTGTAATGTGTGATATATCCTATGTAAAAATTCCTTTAAGTATGGGGGAACCTGTGCCTCAAGATACTATGTATGAAAAGTTTGGTTTGGGCTTTTTTTAAAATTATTTTTTGAAGAAGAGCAACAGCATGTCTGAAGGAAATAAAATTCCACTTGAACACCTGGGAACAATTTGATTTCTGGCATTCATTTTTAAGGTGTATGGAATAATGTAGAGACAGTGGTGTTTGCTTTTTTATGTGTCTTGGGAAATCGTGATTCCCTGTTAGCTGTAGGATATGTGGCAATTTGTCATACCAAATTAAACAAAAACTTTATTAAATGATTTCTAATTGCATTTTGAAGATGTGGCCTTCTAAATAACTAGGTATTTTAAGTGTTAACATGACTTCTTCTTACCCTGGGGGTTGATTGGAGGCCTTGCACTTCGGCTCAAACTAAGGCAATGCCAAAAAGTGGTGAGTCTCCATGCTGTTTCCCCTGTGGGCTTTTACTGACTTGTGTATAATAATTCAGATAGCAAAATAAAGCTATTGTGCTGGCTAAACTGTGTTTTTTGAGACTTCTTGACCCAAAAAATTATAACATTTAGAAAATTTGTGAAACTCTGTGGGTTCCTAATATCCAACCTGAACTTCCCCTGGTGCAGCTTGAGGTTGTTTCCTCTTGTCCTATTACTTGCTACATGGGACAACATGACCCCCCCACACACGTGCACACACCTTTCTACATCCTCTTTTCAGGTAGCTGTAAGGAGGGATAAGGTCTCCTCTCAGGCTCCTCTTCTCCAGGCTAAATACCACCAGTTCCCTCATGCCCTCCATGTGAAACTTGTCCTCTAAACCCCTCATCAGCTTCATTGCCCATCTTTGGTCATACATACCTCCTGCACATTCCTTGCTGCAAGAAATCAGGGTGACTGAGATCATCAGAGTTCTTTTCCACAAAAAAACCAGTGCAACAGAATAGCCCAGAGAAAGAGAAGGTTTGTGCAGTCACAGAGGTGTGACATCACTGGGGTGACAGGACCAGGCTAGGACAGCTTGCAGGACTGGAGCGTACCACGGGTGGACAGAAACGCAACAAACAGGCAGGGAAGAGAAAGGGAGGAGTGGAGCTGTGCAGAGGAGGAGTCTGGATGTGCAGGGGGTGTGAGGGAATAGCAAAAGCCCTGACAGCAAGCCTCTGCAGGTTGTCATCATGGCTAAAGGGGAGGCCAGAAAGGGGATATTGTGGTAGGCACCTGCAACAGACCACTCAGTCGAGAAAAGGAAGAGAATGGGACCTTCCTTAAGCAATTTGAAGAAGTCTACTGATTGCATGCTGTGGTTTTCTTGGGGATTTTTAACCACCTCCCATTTGCAGAAAGAGCAACAATGGCAGAACAAAAACAATCCAGGAGACTTAAGAGTGTGTCATGAACCATCTTCTGTGTGGGTGCTGGGCAGGGTGGGAGAGGGGATACTCCAGATCTGCTACCCAGGAATAAGAGCTCAGGTGCTATAGTCAATGGTAACCATGGCTACAGTGACCATGAGATGAGCTAATAATCCTGAGAGCAGAGACAAAGACAAGTAGCAGAGTGATAGTCTGAGACTTCATGGAGGTGAGTGCTATCTCATTCAGGGTTCTGTTTGGCAGGAATCCATGGAAGTCTGCCCAGAGCTGACTGCCTTTCCTTCCACTCTGCAAGAACAACCCACTGGTGTAGCAGGTGGACAGAATGGCTGATGGAGAAACTCCTGGCTGAGTTCAAATGCAAAGAAATGTATGGGAAGTGGAAGTGAGGATGGCTATGGAACAAGGAATGACTGTGGAATTGCACAGGTACAGTAAAAGGGACATCAAAGCTTGGCTGAAACTGAAAAGGGATATGTGAAGGCAGCAAGAAGGGTTTCTGCAAGCAGGACATCAGTGAAAGGAAGATGAAAAAAAATGTGGGCCTGCTGCTGAACAGAGTGGGTGCCCTAGTGATGAAGGTAAGGAAAAGAAGATGGGTACTGTTTCTTCTTTGCTTCTGTCTTTACTGGCAAGGTCTGCTCTCACACTTCTGTAAAATGTTGTGGTAATCAAGGGCTGTTCTTCATGACTGATAAAGAAAAACATTCCATCTAGCGTTTAAAAAAGTGAGAGGGTCCAGCGAGCTACAGGCCACTCATTGTCACCTCAGTCACTGGGAAATTTGATGCAAGTCCTCATGGTAGCCATGTCTAAATACATGAAAGAAACTAAGGTGACTGAGAAGAGCCAGCATGGGCTTATGAATAGCAAATTGTGCCTGACTCGTGTGATCATTTTCTGTCATGGCTCTGAGGGCAATAGTGGATGTCATTTTCCTTGGCTTTAGCCAAAGTCTCCCAAAGTGTCTATGTGGCAAAATACAGATGGGCTGGATAAAAGGCAACTTTGCAGAAAAGGACCTGGGGTCAGCTGTGAAAAGTGGAGGCCTGGGAGAGTGAGTCAGGCTGCTGGCTGTGTGCTTGTGTAGGGAGCAGGCTGAGGGAGTGGTTATGTCCCCTGTGTCCCCTTCACTGTGAGACCATACCTGGAGTACTGTGTGCAGTTTGGGCTCTTCCAGTACAAGAGCTGCCAACAAAATAGGGCTTGCTGGAGGGGCCAGAGGATGGTGATGGTGCTGAAGCATGCGACCTACAAAGGACTGGGGCTCTTCTGCCTGTAGAAGAGAAGGTAAAGGGGGGTGACTAAGCTGTGGTCTTCCATCCTTACGGGGGGCTGTACGGAAAACAGATGTGGACTCTTCCTAGAGATGCCCAGTGAAAGGACAACAGTTGAATAGCATCAGAAGCATTCCAGCTGCATATATGAAATAAAATCTAAAAAATCACTATGGGGATTGTCCAGGACTAGAGCAGGTACCCATTGAGGTTTTGAATTCTTCATCACTGGAAATTTTTGAAACCAAAATAGACAGACCCAGAGCAACCTGATCTAGCTTTGAAATTGGGTTGTCTTTGAACAGAAAGCTGGACTTCCAGAAGAGCCCTCTCAACCTAAATTATTCCACGATTCTACCAAGATAGGCCTTTCTGTGGAAGGGTAATTGTTATGAGGAAAGACAAACTCCATCTGGCTGCCTTTGTGCATGCTACCTACCTTGTTTGCCTGTAGTAACTGTGTTGCTACAGCTTATTGATGCAGATGTTCATGTACATGCAAACTGTCCCACAGAAAAAGGTCAGCATCTGCAAGTATAGTAGCATTAATGCTAGACTACTATAAGGCTTCAAACCTTATATTTTTGAAGGAATCTCTTGGAAAACATGAACTTAAAACAGGATTTGGTACACTGTGAGAGTAACTGCAGCTGATCCTTACACTTGGATCTATGTTTAAAAACAAGCCATA